CCTAAAAGTAAAGCCTGAATAAGATATTCCACTTTCTCCATTAATCCAGCCATTTGCAAACTGAGGGAAGGGAATGGATTCTGAAGTTCACCTTTGCAAGTCATGGATGGCAAATTTTTCACTGTGTCATCAATACAGCACTAACCATTAGAACATTTATTTCTAAGCCAGGCTTCCAGTTTGTCATCCCTAAATGATGCAGCAATTTGGGGGCACCAGAGGGACAGCACCTCCCAGGCTAAGCCAAGGGGGGAGGCAAGGTGGCAAACCCTGATTTTGGCCAGTTTTTGGTAAAACAACAGCCAAGGTTCCATGGCTGGTGAGCATCTGTGATTAAGTGCAAAGGGCAAAGAGAAGAAGGGCTGGGAGCAGAAAGTCAAGGCCAGCTCTTATGTATTTATTTACACTCCAGTCTGGGGGGGATGGGGGCAGGACAGAGGAAAAAAAATAATAAAAATTAAAAAAAAAAAAAAAAAAAAAAAAAAAAAAAAAAAAAAAAAAAAAAAAAAAAAAAAAAAAAAAGAAATAGCACACAGCTGCCATCCCAAAAACAGACCTCCCATCTGCCACCCACGATTTGCATGTCACCTTCTCCAGGCTCATTTGTACTTCATTAACTGCCATTGACTTAACAAGATTTATGCAAATGACACCATAGGAGCTCGCTAACTCCCACTGCAATCAAGTGATTATGTATGTACAATTCTCCACAGCAATGAAAAATTAATACATGACAAGCCCCCTCACCGCTGAGCTGAGCTTCTTGCTTTTATTTTTCTTGTTGTGTGCATTTTTTTTTAATTTGAATATGCCCTACTGATAAAGATTTCCCAAACCCACAAAAACCAAAGTAATTTTCCCAAAACACCATAAAAACTCCCATTCCAGAAAGTCAATTCCCCAAAAGTGGGCAGCCCAATGTGTGCTTCAAAATATTCTTCAAAATATTCACTCAGGCTATCAGGAACAAAATTTCTTTTCTAGAATAAATGAGTTTGGAGGGAGGATTCTCCAACCATAGCAAGCCACTCACTTTAAGAGCATTATTAGCAATGCTACAGAAAATAGCTTAAATATTCTTAGTTTAAGCATCTCTTTCTCAGAAGTACAGAACTTCCTGGGGATTTTAACTTGAAGCCAATATTGCTCTGACTTCTCTTTTTCTGTTTTCTCTGATTGCTCCTTTTCTGACTCTGATTTGCACAATATTTTTAAATAGCACACAAGTGAAATTCTGTATAATTTTTTAACATTTCTGATATTCCCAGTTCTCAGAATCTGCTAAAAGTCCAGGATTTAGGACATGCTGATGTGGCTGTGCATGCAGAAGGTACTGGTACCTCCCCAGGAAACCTGCCTTCCCAAAATTTCACTCACTTTAAGAGTATTTTGGCAGGAGCAAGCAGCCACCCTTTAAAAACAAACCTGCTTTTCATTGCCTACATTTTGGGTTTCTGCTGGGAGCAAGGAAGGGTCATCAGGACAGTTTTATATGGCTTAGCCCAATAAAACCAAATTTAGCACTGCAGTGAAAAACCAGCTTTACCACGTAGAAAGGACACAGAGAATAAGAACATTAACTCTTTTTGACCAGGCTGCTCCGAGTTAAGGACAAAATCCTGAAGGAACGAGGTGTTTCCTTGGAAGGAAGCTGGCTATTCACAACTTTACCTCCTTCATGGAACCCTGGAATGGGTTGGGTTGGAATGGCCCTTCCAGCCCATCTCATTCCAACACCCTGCCATGGGCAGGCACACCTTGTCCTCGACCAGGCTGCTCCATCCAAACTCTCCCAAGCTCTCAGGGATTTCCCTTAAACCCACAGGGATTCAGGCACCAAGCACAGGAATGCAGGAGCAGGTTGCAATTCCTGCCTTCTTTTGACCCAAACCCACTGGCAGCTATGCAGGTCCATTCCTGGGGCTCAGAATGATCAGCATCTCTTTCACTGGGACAGATTCCATTTTTCCTCAAAACCAGAACATTTCCAGCCTCCAAGGAACTTGTTTGGGTTGGAGGTTTTATCATTTGTTTGTGGGTGTGGTTTGGTTTTGTTGTTTGCTTTTTTTTTTTTGGTAAAGCTTTTGTTGTTGATGTCATTGTTTAGTTTTGTTCTCCCACAGCAATCCTGGGAATGCTGCAGCCTGAAAGCAGATTTCTGCTTCTATCCCAAGTATCCCAAGGAACAAGAGACAGGACAAGAAGAAACAGCCTCGAGTTGCCCCAGGGAAGGTTCAGGTTGGCTGTTGGGAAAAATTTCTTCAGAGAAAGAGTGATCAGGCATTGGCACAGCTGTCCAGGGCAGTGGATTTAAAATCCATGAGGATGTGGTGCTTGGGGACATGGGTTAGTGGTGGCCTTGGCAGTGCTTGTTCCAACACTGGACTTGGTGATCTTACAGGGCTTTACCAACCTTTATGGCTCTGTGACTCCATTTGCCACAGAAAACATCATGATGTTTCTCACCTTAAGGAGAACAGCAGCATGAAGATTTTTAGGTTGAGAAGTTCCCTTCCACATCTGTCTTATTCCCAGTTAAGGCATGAAATAAAAGGCACCAACTTTCCCAGCAGGAATTTCTGCTGCCACTGTCACATTTTCTGAAAAATCCCTTCGCCAGGATTTCCTCTCCTGGGAAGCTGAGGAGCCTCAGAGAGGAATGAAAACAACAATTATCTGATTGCTGCTCCTGTGTTTGCTGCTTGGGAATGTGGCCTGGACATTGTTTACCAACAGGTGAATGCTTGATTGGTTCCATGTGAATTGTTATTAATTAATGACCAATCACAGCCAGTTGTGTCGGACTCTGAGGAGTCAGTCACCAGTTTTTATTATTTCACTCTTGTTAAGCCTTCTGATAGACCCTTTCTCTTTCTTTAGTATAGTTTTAGTATAGCATTCTTTAATATAACATCATAAAATAATCAATCAGCCTTCTGAGAACGTGGAGTCAGATTCTCATCTCTCACCTCCTCCTGGGGACCTCACAAACTCCACAAGCTCCCTGGACCTGGCACCTGTTGAGCCCCCAGGAATGTGGGGCTGTATCAGCAACTCAACCTGGAGGCATCTCTACTGACCAGGCCTCCAAAATCTCTGCTCCTGACATCTGAGAGTGATCTGAAATCCCACTGGGAGCAGCCACCCTGCACCCAGCAAAAACCTCCAACTCCCACCCCAAAGCCCAAAGAACAGGAGGGACCTGCTGAGGTGCACATCAAGGGTTTGTGGGTAATGGCCTGTATGTGACAAAATTAAATTACCATAACTGAGATTACTAACAAGGAGGACACGTTCCCAAAATATTGCTCATATTTGGTACACAGGCAGGGCTGCAAGGAGAGCTTTTCCATACAGAAATTGCAGATATTGTAAAGGATATTTCTTTACAACACGCTGTGGCACAATCACACTCACAATATTTCCCTTACAATGCTCTTCCTATGAGTGTATTTTTAATCAAATTCATTCCATACAACAGCATTTTAGGAAAGAAGAGTAGGTATGCCTGGAATAAATACTGGCACATCTATCCCTCAGTTTTACATTCTCAGCTGCACTTTTGTTTAATTAGCATTACCCAAAAGGACTGCAGCCGGTCTAACCCATCCTGTACCATACAAAAGCTGTAGGAAAATAAAATTGCAGCTTGCTTTAAATGCCTGGAATCTCCTCCCCTGAATGCAGAGCCAAATACTGAACTCCTCTGCTTTCAAACTGCTCTTCTGGATTGCAGCGTGCTTGATTAAAATTTGCCTACTAGAGATTCACACACCACAGCATTTTTGCTGCCTGATGGTCCCAAAAAGTCTTTCAGAGTGACTTCAGGAAGAAGAATCACAGCTAATAGTTGAGGGTACAAAATCAACTCCTCCTCACATCCAGAAACAGAGGAAAAGCACAAAACACCCCAAAATATGCAAACCCAGCTCCACACAGGACATCCAGGGCTGCCTGGCAGATAAGGCACGGGCTGAGGGAAGATCAGGAGAGGCAAGTGAGCCTCTGGAGAGCAGGAAAGGCACCAAAACAACTGGAGAGAAAATAAGTGGAAAAGAAAGGGAGCTTATCTCTAGCAAGGCAACTCTAACACGTGAGTAAACACTTGGAAACACTGGCAGAGAAACTGTGTGAGAAGCATTCCATGGGACTGTGGAGATCTCAACCACACGGAGCCAGTGCCATTTCATTTGAGCAAGTAAATCATCTCATTCCCCAAACACTTCCCATCCAAGGCTGGCACTGCTTTTGCCTTTCAAAGGAGTGTTCCCAGCTACAATTTAGCATCGAGCTTCCAGGCTAATGAAAGTGCATCTAGGCTAGTAAAAACAGACCAAAACAAATCCTCGGCTTCAAGTCCTGTTGTGTAATGAGAAAGTTTAATTAAGGCCACACATTACAGCTGTAAACGTTCTCTTATATAATAAGGTCTAAATGAAACTGAACCTAATCAAAGTTACAATTCCTTCATTAGCAAATTACAAACAAGAGCGCGCAGCTGACACACCGGCCATGATTATCACAACTAATTGCCTCGTTGTTAGGGAGCAGCCTGAAACTGTGTTCAGATGTCCGTCTGTGGTAGCAAATTAGGGCCACATCAGGCTATTCCTGCCATCACAAGGGGCTCTTGTCGAGCGATCTGATTTACCCTGCGCCTGGCAGCACTCGGCCCAATCAAAGCCCCCTCTACAAAGGCAGCTTTGAAGCCAGCACAGCCTAGAAACCCGCTCCATATGCAGGCCGGCAGACTGCACTTCATTAGGCCTGTTGTCACATTTTCCCTCTTCTTATTCTAATGATCCTATTTTAATACACATAGGAACCTCTCCTAATTGATGTCAAGTGAGTGACTTCCACATTCATCAGCGGCGCACATCAAACGCCGCTCGGGCGGCGCTCGGCCTGCCCGGACCCGAGGTGTGTGTGTCTTGTCTCCCAACTATGGAAAGCAGGCAAGAGAAAAAAAAAAAAATAAAATACAACTATTTCGGCATTACCTGTTTAATTGGGATTGCACGGCCGCTTCCAATGCTGTCTGTTCTGCTCTCCAGGACCTTCTTCTCTTTGTCTGGGTCACTCCCTTTCCGAGACTGCAGAGTGAAAAGAAAAGTTTGTGCTCCATTAAATGCACACAGAGGATGCTTTTATTTGCCTTTTTTTTCTTTCGGGGCAATTAAAAAATACTTTGGCAGGTAAATATAGGCTCAAAATTGAATCTACACAAGTACACAACCATCCTGACAATGAATAAATTTCCCATCCACCACCCATAAATTTCAACTATCCACCAGTTTGAAATGCATTTGGGTTTAAAGAGTTTCAGCTTCGCTGCCTGAAGACCCACAACATCAGAGGACACGTTTCTGAAGTTTCCAACAGCAGCTCCAAAGGGGAATGAATGTGCCATCTCCTCATTAAAAACATTTAAAATAGCCATGCATAGATTTAATTCACACCTGTGTGGCTCTTAGAAATGTCAGCAACTATTTAGAAATACGATTTTATAATGCTGGATTTGACTATGTAGACTTCAACATACTATTTTTTTTTCTGCTTTGGGACAGTTAGAAAGTTGCAACTGCGAGAAAAGCCAATGACTGGAAAAAGTTATCTGAACATGGTGTGGAAAAATCAGCACGAGGAGAATTTTACCAATGTCTAAAACCCGAGCTGCTTTATCCTGGCTTCCTCCAAGGCTGGAAGGAGTGAGGTCACAGCGCTCCCTTCATGGCTTTCTCAAGTTCTCTGGGAATGTGAAGAAGTTATTCAGATCGCAGCCCGCTATTGCGACAGAACGCACGGGCGCAGCGGTGATTTTGACGGATTTATTTTATTTCAAAAAGAAGACCTGAGAGTCATCCTCCTTAATAACTGCGCTGACAAGTGACAACTTCACTCCATTACTTTCCAATGGGAACATTACTCACACAATACGGGAAATGGGAAAACAGTTCCGCGTGCTTTCCACACCGCGGCCGCGCCAGAGCCCGCTCCGGCGGGAAGAGACGCCGGAACCAGGAGGAGAAGCGGGAGCGTGGATCGCTCATGCCCCTTTTCCCCGTGCCACAAAGGGGTGGGAGGAAGAATAAAACCCAGGAGCAGCTGCCCTGGGGGCTGAGGGGAGGGAGGAGAGCGAGTGCGAGCAGCGCATTCGCGCAGCGGGGATGCCGCGCTGCCGGCAACGGGCTGCGATGGCCAGTTACTATGGCTGGGGGCAAAGGAATGGCGTGCAGGGGAATTAAACAAAGAACAAATGAAAGCAAGCAAAACAAGTGGGAGCAGCGCATTCGCGCAGCGGGGATGCCGCGCTGCCGGCAACGGGCTGCGATGGCCAGTTACTATGGCTGGGGGCAAAGGAATGGCGTGCCGGGGAATTAAACAAAGAACAAATGAAAGCAAGCAAAACAAGTGGGAGGGGTGAAATCCAGCGTGCAGGATAACTATTGTTCCTCGTCCTTCAAGACAGATTTCTGCCTCTCAAAGTGCCACTTCCCAAGAATACGAGGCAAAACAAAGCTTCAATGGCGCAAGGCGCCCGTAAGTGACATTGTAAAGAAACTCAGTGAAGGTGCCCAAATCCTTGGGAGGGGAGTTGTCAACTTGAATGTTTCTTTTTTATCTGACTTTTTTTTTGAGAAAGAAGCCTGCCTCTGAAATGCAGGCTGAATATCTACATGCTGGTTTTCATTTCTGGTTTTAAATCATCACCATTCCCTAAAAGTTACTGCAGCTGGAAATCACAGGCTGCACGTGGAAGGGAAAAGCCTATGTGCAAAACACTGGTAAATGCCAAAAGGACAGAAATGTAGGGATTTCTGCTGGGCAGATTCCCTCCTAGCAGCTCGCAGTCACAGAATCCCTAACGTTTTTCAGGGGAGAATCTTCGCACGCTCCGCTATTTATAAAGATAAATTGTGCAGTGAAACAGAAATCTGATCTTTTATGCTTTTGTACCTATGACACACACAATATGTCTTATATCCTAGCAGAAAAAAATCCACTCCAAACCACGCTGGAGCAACACTTCCCAGGACTTTTTCTGATGGCACATCTACACAATAAATGGTTCTATTGAAAACTTGGTGCCAGCAAACCAAAAAAGGTCTGGAAAAATTAAAGCACCTGCACAAATATCATTGGAGTGATTTCCCCTGCAAGTCACTCACAGATTAATGCACATAAAACTTGGCCCAAGATGTCACATCTGAGTTTGGGCACAACCAGACCCAGATCGGCAGTGCTGAGCACCCCAAAAATAAAATACTCATCTCTAACAGTAGATACTGAGACATGGAGCTCATTTTAAGTCTGAAAAACTCCCTCGGAATTCTGTAAATATGTAAAACAGCTAACACTGAATGTGGGAAAGGTGATGCACCTTTCTATGCCAGAAATTCCCTCACCCAGTGTGGGATCAGACATGGTCAGAATCAGCTCAGTGAACCTCATAAATGCATTTCAAATCCTCACCTGCCCTATACAAGATTATTTGGTGGTCCCTGTTATCACACTGTCCAAACAAAGGACATAAACTCTTCTAATATCTACTCCATCTTATCACTTAAGGGGAAAATCAGCTGCTGCAACCACAGCTTTACAACAACCATTAATAATCAATGTAAAAAGATTATATACTGCATTTAATGCACTGAACATGCTTAACAATTCTCATCCCTATTCCAACTCAAAAACTGTAATTAAGAGGAATCAAATATTTTCTACTTAGCCCAGTCCTCTTCCAACAACAGAAGATCTAAAGATCACTGAACAGATTACCTGTGCTAGATAACAAGGGGTAATTTGCAATTATTAAACAGAAATAGATCTGATTCTGTAAGAGATAAAGGAATAAGTGACTGGGAAGGGAAGCACAGCAAGAAACCAGAGCTAAACAGTAAAATAATTACACACTCTGTTCATAACCAGCAGTTTCTGTGTAGTTGTCTATTTATTCAATTAAATAATTCCAGGCTGTAACCTGGCACAGAAGCTGGGTTACAGCAGAGTGGGTGTTAAGTACTTCACCACACAGATTACAGGGCAACTCATTAAACAGTCTCACTACACCCACCTTAAAAGACACAACTAAATCTGCAAAGGCAAATTATTAATATTTTTCCCAGTTATCAGACACTAAGACAACTATCAACACCCTCTCCTGTCAGTAAATATGGCTCTCACTAATTATCACAAACCAGAGCTTCAGTCTGTTTACAGCTGACTTAAAATTCTTCTCCAACCTTTCCTGTGACTGTAGATGGGTCTGTTTTCCTCTCCTCCCTTTCTCAAATGTACAGCTGCTCCAAAGGAAGCATTCCCAGTTTCCCTGATGCCAAGAGCACCTGCAGAGCCCTGGCAGCCCCTCACACATCCTGCAGGCCGGCCATGGATGGATGATGTCTGCAGGGATGCAGCAGCAACCCAGCTCTGCTTCCCCAGCTCTGCCTGCTGGTTTCTGGGCTGACACTGACATCTAGTGGGGCTGGGAAATCTGCAATTCCCACCAAGGCAAGGAATCTGCACAGCTGTTATCAAATATCAGCATCAGAGCTGGGACTCTTCTTCCCAGGCCACTCATCTGCACCCAAACACAAATGCATGATTTCCTCTCCTTCACAGGACTGGGAGATGGGGGTTTAAATCAAAATACCTCTGTTGGGAGGGACACAGGATTCCTGGGGCTCTGTGCTCTCACTCAGAGCTCCAAAATGGTGACAAAATGTTCCACTTGCTGAGGGTGGAGAGCTCAGATTTCCCTCAGTCTGAGGAAATGGTTTTTACAGGTTTGTATGCGGGAAGTGAGCATGATAGCACCTTTGGAATAAAATATATAAATTCTCCATGTTGACAGGAAAGTTGTGGGTTCCTAAACACAACTAACATGTAGCTACAACCCCCAAGGGAATTACACGAGAGCCCAGAGCCATTCTGAGTTTGCTGTGACATGTGTGACCTGTCAAAAAACTGCTTACAAACCACAGCTACACCTGCAACAGATCCCAGAGCTTTCAGCAAGAGGCTTAAACCAAGGAAACCGTCACTCAGAGCTTCATTAGCATTTCCCAAACTACTTCTGCATAACAAAGAACTGTCAGATTGCACCAGGCAACTTTTTATTTGATTTTTTTTTTGATTTGGGAATTTTTGGCCTCTCAGTGAAGCAAAAAAACAGGAGCTTTGGAAAGAAAAAAAAGCTACTTTAATCTCCATCATCTTTTTTAGCCCTGGAGAAGAAATGAGTGAGCTGATTCTATATAGTAATAAAAGCAGAACAGGGTACTTATGGAATAGTTTGGTTTGGGAAGGAGCTTAAAGCCCATCCAGTGTCACCCCTGCATGGGCAGGGACACCTCCCACTGTCCCAGGGTGCTCCAAGCCCCATCCAGCCTGGCCTTGGGCACTTCAGGGATCCAGGGGCAGCCACAGCTGCTCTGGGCAGTGCCAGGGCCTGCCCACCCTCCCAGGGAACAATTCCCAATTCCCAATCTCCCATCCATCCCTGCCCTCTGGCAGTGGGAGCCATTCCCTGTGTCCTGTCCCTCCATGCCTTGTCCCCAGTCCCTCTCCAGCTCTCCTGGAGCCCCTGCAGGCACTAAAAAGGGCTCTAAGGTCTCCCTGGAGCCTTCTCCTCTCCAGGCTGAACAATCTCCAGCCTCTCAGCCTGTCTTCCTACGAAAATCTCCTGTTATTAAATTAAACTCCTGTTTAAGTCTCAAACAGAACCACCCAACAACAATTCCAGGATGTTCTTGGTTTTGAGCCCACAGCTTTCTTGCAGCACTCCTGTGCCATCAGAACAGCCCAGCTGCAGAGGGGTGAAGCTCAGTGTCCCCAGGGTCCCTGTCTGAGGCTCAGTGTCCCCAGGGCAGCAGGGACTGAGGCTCAGTGTCCCCAGGCTCCCTGTCTGAGGCTGTCCCCAGGGCACTGTCCCCTGGCTCAGGCTGTCCCCAGAGCAGCAGGGCCCCTGTTTGAGGCTCAGGCTGTCCCCAGGGTACTGTCCCCTGGCTCAGTGTCCCCAGGGCAGCAGTGTCCCTGGCTCAGGCTGTCCCCAGGGCAGCAGGGACTGAGGCTCAGTGTCCCCAGGCTCCCTGTCTGAGGCTGAGGCTGTCCCCAGGGCAGCAGGGCCCCTGTTTGAGGCTCAGGCTGTCCCCAGAGCAGTGTCCCTGGCTCAGGCTGTCCCCAGGGCAGTGTCCCTGGCTGACTCACCGTGAAGAGGTTGGAGCGGCGCTTGGACTGTTTGCGCACAGGAGTTGGAGTGTTGGCAGTGGGAGGAACGTCGATCCGCAGCTCCTTCTGGCTGGTGCTTGGAGTTGATGGGACAGAGGAGGAATAATCACTTAAACTCCCTCCTCCATTACTGGTCTGCAAGGATTAAAGGGAGTTTTAAACAGTGGCAGGCTGCTTTCAAGCAATGACAATCCACAGCTGTATCTTATGTACTCCTGATTTACTCCAGATTGATGCAGAAGTGCAGCCAGGGCTCAGCAGGGCTGCCCTGCTGCCACTTTTCCACACATTTCTATTCCAAGCCTTTGAACATCTCCCCCACCATTAGTTTTTGAACATTTAGATAGCTCTGTTTATACAGCAGGCACATTTTCATTCTACACAGTATAACCTTAACTGGGTAGCAACAGTTTCATTTGTTTTCTAGTGTACAAGTAAGCAAACATTGGGAACAACCTTCCAAATCTGGATTTCTACTAAACTAAATTGTAAATACCCAGTGCCATGGAGTTAAACCTACTCTGGAGACACCAGATTATTGAGAGCTGATCAAGAAAATGAAAATAATTCAGGGTTGTAAAATGGCTACTAAGGGGTTGGATAAATCCCAACATCTTCCAAGCATCACAGACTCTCCCACAAGGACAATCGAGTCCAGCTCCTGGCCCTGCACAGGATTTGCTGAAGCCACTGGTGCAAAGATACAAAACTTGTGAGTAAGAGATTCCAATTTATTTGAAGCAGCCAAAACTCTGATGTTACATCCTAGTCCTGAAAGAAATAAAGCTTTGAGCCTATAAAACAATAAATGAACCAAGGTAACAAATTCCTGAAAGAAGGAAGGTGAGGAAACCAGACAGAATGGAAAGGACCAAAAGGTGATTAAGAAAAAAGTATTATTTTTTTTTCTTTAAAAGGACTTACTAGACATGACATAAACAAGTACTAAAAACACCACAGAAGGAGGAGATGCTCTGTGTGCTGATGGGGGACTGGGGCAGGACAACAGAGAACATTCTGCCTGCTGGGGATGGAGCAGCAGAGGATGAAGGGGCTGGGCAGTAACTCACAGGTAATTCTGGAGGGAAAAGAAATGTCTGGGATGCACAGAGAAGGGGGAAAGGCCATCTCCAAAGCAGTCAAGATTCCTGGAGGAAGTGAGGCAAGGTGGTAAGAGGGTATTTCCAGAATTCCTGAGGAGAAAGATGCCTCATGGCACTTCCCCCATGCTCCTGGGGGATGGGGACCTCAAGCTGTAAGCAGTGAGGAGGATGGAAAAGCAGGAGACAGCCCCTTCCAGCCCAGCTGAAATCCTGCATGCTCCAAGCTCTCCTCTGGTCCTTGCAGCTTTCCCAGAGCAGGGAGCAGAGGGGAAGGCACTGCAAGGGCAGGGCAGAGACATTTCCTGCAACACTCTCAGGTGCCAGAGGAAGCAGCAGCAGAACTGGGAGATGTGTACAAAACAAAGGAGATGAAATTACATAACTGGAATGATCATTTTTAGTGCCCTAATGGAGAATGGTAACACTGGACAGATGAGCAGGACAAGCTGGGAAGAAGTGGCCTCAATTACCCCACATTTGCTTTTCCTGTCTCTGCAGCAGCTTGTTCCCAAGCCACTGGATGTGCTGGAGATGAGAAGGGTGGCAAAGAAATCTAATTTTTTTTTAATTGAAATTAACAGAGTTATGCCCTAAGAGCCTACTTTCCAGGTGGAGACCATGAAGGATTCCCTACAATTTTATCTTTTAAATCCCTTCATTATCTTATAGTATCATTTTACACTTTTCACAGCTGTCTCCTGGATTTCCAAGTGATTTGTAAGTAACTCCTAAAGGAAAACACAAACCTGTTGGATATTCTATTCCCCTAAGACACAGGGAGAGTTTCTATAAAAGAACTCCTGCAGGCAATGTTTCTCTTCTCACGCACCAAGCGCAGTGGATTTCCAACTCTGTAAATAAAACTCTGAGGTGATTTCAAAATAAGCCACTAGCTGGAACAATGAAAAACACAACCAGAGAGAATGGTTGCAAAAACCATAGAATTGTTTGGGTTGAAAGGGACCCCAAGGATCATCTAATTCCAACTCCTTGCCATGGGCAGGGACACCTCCCACTGTCCCAGGGTGCTCCCAGCCCTGTCCAGCCTGGCCTGGGGCACTGCCAGGGATGCAGGGGCAGCCACAGCTGCTCTGGGCACCCTCACAGGGAGCTATCTACAATGCTTGTTCTAGGTAAATATCAGGTTACTTAGAAACAACCCTGTAAATGCAAAAGGATTGTGAAATATGTGGCATTAAATACATTATCATTCCTTGTTTAGTTTTAGTTTTGACATCCCAGAAAATTTCTAAAAGGCTTAACAATAATCAGGTCTCACACAGAATGAAATAATGGATGGCCAAGCTGACTGCACTTTGCTTTTAGTAATTAAAGTCACATTTTTGGACAATCACGTTGTAGTGAAAACCATCTGAAGGCACTGTGCAAACATGAATAATGCATCATACAGATTTACAACAGGTAGTAAGGAGAGAGCTTGTGTGGCAGCCACACCTGAGCTGCAGCTTTGTAGTGGCTGTAAAGCTCCACACCTTCCCAGGAATAATGGAAATCTGCTTGGAGAATGGCACTGCTGACCCGGACACACAACTCCTGGCACTGCAGTCCCCATGGAGCGTGTCCAGGGCAGGGAATGGAGGGGCTGAGGGAGCTGGGCAGGGGCTCAGCCTGAAGCAAAGGAGGCTCAGGGTGACTAAAGTCCCTCTGTCCTAGAGGAATGCACAGAGACCGGGCAGACATGGAAACATGGTGCCATTTCCAATCTCCTCTCACAGCAGAACGTAACAGCTGAATTCCAGGAAAGCCAGCCAGTGTGAAAACACATCCAGCCTGCAGATTTCTGGGAATTATTGTCACTGTAAAACAATCTTTCCATCTCTACCTTCAAAGCTGCAGCTCACTGCTGGGGATTCCTGGCTGGAATCTGCACATGAGCTTGTCTGGAGAGGGGCCTGCAGCCTTCCACACCAACAGCAACAGCAGCTGTTGTGCCAGAGGCTTTTCCAGCTGTTTTTCCAACAGTGCAATCCCCAGCCCAGCTGAGGTAACCCCTGAGCAGGTTATGCAGCCCTGAGCACCAAAGGAGGGGCTGAGCAGCCTCAGGGCTTTGGGAACCAGATCATCTCCACTTCCAGGGGCTGGGCAGAGCAAACAGCCCTTTGGAGCTGTTTCTACTGGCACTATTCTGCTAAGTTAATAGCTTCAAATTGCCTTCCTGATATGTCAGGTGTAAAGGACAAGCAACTCCTCTAGCACCAGGATGAATTTAGGGAAAAGGAATAGTTCTGTGGGGTTTTGTGAGGGAAAAGGGAACTCAATTCTTCTTTGAAATTAGGCTTAGCATGGTATACAAGCACATCATGCCTAGGAAGATTATCAAGGCATAGGGGAACGTGGGAATGAAAAGTGGGATAGACATACAGAGCAGAGAGGTACAGAAGTGACTGGTCTGTACTTGTATAAAGTAAATTAAAGACCTATTCCAAGATGCCCTGTGGCCAACAAGAGGCCTCCAATCCACTGCACAACATTTCTTTCCCTCTAAACAACTCAGTCTACCTCTTGAAGTGTCCAAAAAGCCAGACAGTGGGCTGTGACTGGAATTATTGACTCAGGAATACCTGAATGTAAGCAATGTTGCACCATCCCTCTTGTTGACGGAGCATACAACAACTCTGTCCATCATGCTCATGAATGATAATCCTTGGATTTGAGAATAAAATTCTTTCCATGCATTCTGTGCTGCCCTGAAAGCCAACAGAGGTACCTGAGATACTTAAAAAGGTTTTCAAGGAAAACCTTCCCCTTGACTGACATACAGGCTAAAAAAACTAAGTCAGAAGGAGAATTAAGCAGCATCTACTACAAAGAAAAGTGGATTTTGCCTTTGGCATAGGAAGCATGTTACTGTGTGGGACAGGCCTCTGGAAATATGTAACTATAGATATTCCTGAGAGCATTTTCTGAAGGGATCTCATTTTCTGAAGGCACCACCTCAGCCCCCTGGGCATGCAGATGGAGAAGCACCCACACACACAGAACAGTCTGTCACAGAATCCCAGGGTGGTTTGGATTGGAAGGGACCTCAAGGCTGATGCCATTCCAACGCCTTCCACCAGACCAGACTGCTGCAAGCCCTGTCCAACGTGGCAGACTGCAACCACAGGAGCCCTGGATGGTGCTGAGCCTTACAATTCCCCCCAAGGTGTGCCAAGCACTACTCTGGTTAAGGTGACACTCGATACCTTTTTTTCCCTCTCTAAAGCCTAAGCTTTTGACTGCAGAGTCATCTGGAGAGTTTGCAGGAGTTCAATCCCCGGGATGATCCAACCAGAGAAGGAACAATGTCTGACTCCAGCTGAAGTGCTGTGTGCAGGCAGTGCCTCTGAAGGCCTCTGCTCCTGTGGAGAATGCAAGTGGCAGGGCACTGCACCGCTAACGGGGCTGATTCATGGAGGAAATCTTCACAGGAACATCATTACGCCAGGAGAGATGTTCCAAAGGGCAAGACACCAGCCAGTCTTCCAGCCAAGATCAGAGATGGCAAATCTTGCCCCAGATCATCTTAAACTTGGAATTGCAGTTGCAAAGTTCTTTCAAGTCTGGGATAAGGATTCAGCTTCCTTCCCTTAAACAAGGTCATACTGCCTTTAAGTGTAGCACAAAAGAGATAAGACATGAAACAGATTTCTGGCCTCTACTTTTAGGCATGACATCAGTCTCAGAAGAGAGACATCTTTGACTGGTGATGCAATTGCCCCTTCAGGTAATTATGACACCTGCCAAAGGCAGTAAAGAACATTATTTCCCTTTTATTGGAACGGAATCTAGGGAGCCTTATCACAAAAGCTACCTTGCCTTGATTTTCCCAAACAGCTCTTATCACTGGCAAGAAGTTTGCTGCATAGGTGATGGTACTGCTCTAGAATTTGGTGTCTGCTGTTGACCTTCACACTAGACTTGGGTAGGAAACCAGTGAGCCCCCAGATATTTGATGTCCTTCATCAAAAAAAAGTTTCATTAACAAAATATGCCCCCAGAGAGGGTGAGATCCAAGGGCCTGTGGTCAGAGACAGAACAGGTGAGGAAACCTGGAAAGGGTTTCCAAAGAAAGGAAAGGAAAGGAAAGGAAAGGAAACCCATGTGAGAACTTGTTCTTCACCAGGAGGTGCCAGGGCTCTTCTAAGGAGCAACACACCTCACTCAGCACCTGCTTTAGAAAGGGGGACTGAACTCCAGCATTCTCTTTGGGCTCATCAGCAAAAGCCACAGCCAAAGCCTGGGGCTGGATCAGGACTCAGTGAGTCACAGCAGAGAACTCTGCAGACTAAACTGGCACCTGCATCTTTAGGGTGATAACCCAGTGGGACAAGATACTCCCTTCTGCCAAAAAGCAGGCACTGTGTGGGATAAAGGTCCACAGCCAAAACAAATCCTCACATGGCTGGCTCAGGACTGCAAAATAACCTGTGCACTATTGAGTTTAGACTGAAAACCACACCAGAATGGCTGTGGGTACCTCACATCATTCAGTTTATATCCATCCCAGCTGGGAACAAGCCCAGAGATGATCAGTTGACACTAGAAAACAAAGACACTGAGGAAGGGCATTGTCAGGAAAACGCAGGGGAGCATGCAATACACGTGGGTAAAGTTGGTATTAACCATATGGCAATGTTAAGAAAATGTTGGTATTAACCATATGTTTCTCAAAATACCATTGAGTGTAAAATTCCAGCACTCTAACCACGGGGATACACCAGCTCAGCACAGCTGAGTGAGAGTAACCACCAAAAACACAGCAAGGGGATGCTGAACCACAGCACAGCAAATGCTGCAACTGTAATGATTGGCCTGCAGGCTGCTGGGTATCAATGAGAATGATCAAAGCAGGCTTATCAATCCAAGCAGGCTTTAAAGGCAAATTATTCTGTTTCCTACTTTGTTTTTGAACTCAAGCCAATCTTAAAAAATAATTCAAATATCACTTCAAACCACAGTGCACTGGCAGCATGAATAAAATGGCAGCTACCTCAGGAGCAGCAAGGAGAGCACTTGAAATGGCAGGAAACACACCAGAGATGAAAAGCAGCTTATCAGCCCCTTTCCCAAGACTGCTTTTGTCTGTACCTGGCTGATATGCACGGCAGAAACCTGGGCAGAACACACGGAGGAGTGGCTCGGAGAGTTGGGCAGAGACTTGCAGGGTCCGATGGAGAGCTGCTGCTTCTTCTTGGTGGAAACGATCTTCTGGGCCACTGAGGGGAGACACAACAGCAGGCAGGTCAGGCAGGGCCAAACACACCGTGAGCAGCACACACAGACTGGGGGCACCACCAAAGCCTGCTCCAGGAGCTCAGCGTGGTACAGGGAACGGGAAAGGTGCTGGTTTTCCACAGTGCGCCACGGGAGACTCCAGCTGGGAAATGTGACTCCTTCTCATTCCTGGTGGAATGAGACTTCTGGAAAATGTGCCTCCAGAAGTCTCATTCCACCACGTGAGCACCACAGGACTTGGGGGAAAAATAACAAAAAGCAACACCAGGAATTTTGTACCAAGTCCTCTCTGTGTTTGTGACCCCACACTAACAAAGCTCATCACTCTCAGATGAGAGAGACTCATCTGAGGCTTGTGTTTTCCATAAAAGCTCATGGTAGCAAACATTTCCCATTCTTTGGGATATTCTCCTGGCAGACAGGAGGTACCTGCTCTCTGCTGCCAAGGAATAAAATGGGTTTTCCTTTTTTATCAGCTATTGCACCGGGGCAATCCACTGTGGAGCCCAAACCAAAGAGAACTGCAATATTAGAACTGCAATATTAGAACTGCAGTATTAGAACTGCAGTATTAGAACTGCAGTATTAGAACTGCAGTATTAGAACTGCACTATTAGAACTGCAATATTAGAACTGCAATATTAGAACTGCAGTATTAGAACTGCAATATTAGAACTGCAATATTAGAACTGATAAAGTGTTCATGACAGTGAATAAATACCTAGATTGGTGGTACCACACATCCCAGGGAAATTCTTTATGGAAAGAAGCTGTATCATTAGTTCTAATTTTAGCTTTTCTTCTTTCACAGCAGCAGCACAGCTGGAAAAAATGCCTTTTTTTTCTTTTTTTCTTTTTTTTTTTTTGCAATTTATTAAGACATTCTCTTCAGCATGGGAGAAAAAGCAGCATTTATCAAACAGATACAGGGATCAGAGCCATTAACACCTCTATACACAGCTTGGCAGACCCATAATAAAAAAGATCAAACAGAACTGATGTGGAATGCAGCAACTTCCAAACCTCTCCTACAATCTTTCAATTCAAACAACTCAAACCATTTCAGAAATTCATCCCATCACACACTGGAACTTGAGCTCATGCTGCTAATTCAGCTAAAGCCTTTGGAAAGAGCTCTTTTTATGTCATAAATACATAAAAATAAAATGTATGGCTACCTTTTGAGTCACAAATTAAAAACTAATCAAAATTTCAGTCTTTGGAAACAGGTACTTGTGTAGTGGCTAATCAAAAACGCCACTAACTAAATTCAGCTTCCTTGCATGCAGTTTTCTCCATGAAGGGAAGCACTTCACAAAACTTGTGCCAAGGAATCTGCAGTCACTTGCAGCACCTCCACCAAAGCCAGAGACATTTACTGGCATCTCCTTAAGAAGTTCCCCAGGAAATCCTTGGAATTAAGCCAACAGAACCCAGTCTGTCTTGTTCAGCAAACACAAAAGGACAATTATGTAAATTCCAAGATTCTTCTCCCTCACTACATTACAGCACAGGCAGGGACAGTGTAAGCATAGTTTCTTCTCAAATGAATGCAATTTTAATAACAAACTGGTCTGTGGCTTATGTTTTTCATGTAAATGAATGATGGCATAACCATGATTTAGTGAGAATACATTGGATAAAGAATGGCTCATATATATGAAGAAGCAGCTTCATTAGTTACATCCCACCTCCAATAGGCCTCTTATCATCCTGAAAGGATGATATCAATTAATTTATCTTCTCCTAGCATATTGATCATAACCTTCATCAGCTAATCATGTTTAAATTAAAGGGGAATATCGTAGCACTCTGTCATTTCAGACCCATTGGGTTATTGATCTGGGGCCTGGGAAGCTATATATTAAAATATTTTAAAACACATTAGCGAGTGAAGAGAGCAAACCAAAGGTCAGATTTTAACATATGCACATGGATTTGTCTTCATCCTTTGTGGAACAGACCTAAATTAAGACCCAAACTGAACAAAAAACACAGATGGATGAAAAATACCTCATGTGCAAAAGCTCCTGCTCTCACATGGCAGAGACAATTAGCCAAGGGGAACATTTACCTTTTCCCTGCAGTGTGGGCACAGGGGTGTTGGCACCACTGGCACACACAGCACAGTCTGGGCAAGAAGGGGAAGAAACCCAGGGCAGTCTGAACTCAGTGACTGAACACAAGCAAAGCACCAGGCTGCTCCCAGCCCTGCCCAGCCTGGCCTTGGGCACTGCCAGGGATCCAGGGGCAGCCCCAGCTGCTCTGGGCAGTGCCAGGGCCTGCCCACCCTCACAGAACAATTCCCAATTCCCAATCTCCCATCCATCGCTGCAATCTGGCAGTGGGAGCCATTCCCTGTGTCCTGTCCCTCCATCCCTGTCCCCAGTCCCTCTCCAGCTCTCCTGGAGCCCCTTCAGGCCCTGGCAGGGGCTCTGAGCTCTCCCTGGAGCTTCTCCTCTCCAGTGAGCACCCCCAGCTCTCCAGGCTGGCTCCAGCCCTGGAGCATCCCCATGGCCTCCTCTGGGCTCACTCCACAACTCCACAGCATTATGCTGGGGGCCTCAAACTGGACACAGGTGGGGTCAAAATAGACCATTCTTCACCCCAAATTTCTCAGCTCCTCGCTCTGTCAGAACAATGATGTTCTATAAAGTGAATAAAGAATTCAAGAAAGCAGAGATATTGTTGTCCCAAGCTGCTTCTGAACACAATATTTGAATTGTATACTCTCTAAAAAATATTTTTAAAACAGATGAATACCAACTTAATCTACAGCAGATATAAAAAATAATCCAGAGATTGAGAAGCATTTCAACTCTTTTTTTAAAAATCAGTTGAATTGTCAGTACTTTTACATACTCAATTTATCAGTTGGGGACAGGTTTTATTGTAATATATCAGAAGAATGAAAAGCTAAACAAAATTTATGTGCAAAGTCAAGAACTCTTCTGCAAACAAACAGGGATATACCATAGATACTTAGAGTTGTAAACAAAGAGAAACTGATATTTAGCAAATATTTGGCCTTGGAGGGAGACTGACGCTTATTTTTTATACATTTAAATTTAATTCCACGAGCCAGAATGACTGGGAGTTGTATTCTGCTTGAAGGCATTGATAATTAAAAGCATGTGAAATTCCCACTCCGAGTTGGGAGGGAAAGCTCCTGGCTTGAATGCCTCCCCTTCCATGCCTGACCCAGCTCACCACAACAAAATTAACCTTCCCACCCCCTGCCACTTCCATCCCAAACGCTGCTTTTTGTTAGGGAAAAAAAACCCACTCATTCCTCAGCATCTCCTGCTCCCTGCCTGCCCACGAGGCTTTCAGGGAGCCTGAGCAGGACAGCTGGGAGCTGCACACGGAACCCTGAGCATCTCCACACAAACCACACTTTCCAAAGGAAACACTGAGCACTACTCATTTCCCCAAGCAAAGCCCTCGTACCCTGAGTGGCACAGGACAGAATTCCCTTGGGATGAGGAGCTCAGGACTGAATTCCCTTGGGATGAGGAGCACAGGACTGAATTTCCCTGGGGATGAGGAGCACAGGACTGAATTCCCTCAGGGATGAGGAGCTCAGGACTGAATTCCCTCAGGGATGAGGAGCAGAGGACAGAATTCCCTTGGGATGAGGAGCACAGGACTGAATTCCCTTGGGATGAGGAGCCCAGGACTGAATTCCCTGGGGGATGAGGAGCTCAGGACAGAATTCCCGTGGGATGAGGAGCACAGGACTGAATTCCCTTGGGATGAGGAGCACAGGACTGAATTCCCTCAGGGATGAGGAGCACAGGACTGAATTCCCTCAGGGATGAGGAGCACAGGACTGAATTCCCTGGGCATGAGGAGCACAGGACTGAATTCCCATGGGATGAGGAGCACAGGACTGAATTCCCTGGGCATGAGGAGCACAGGACTGAATT